CTCCCCGGACTCTAGCCAGACCCCACCCTCACTCCCCGGACTCTAGCCAGACCCCACCCTCACTCCCCGGACTCTAACCAGACCCCACCCTCACTCCCCAGACTCTAGCCAGGTGCCATGCCTCCTGCCGGTGGTGGTGGTGAAGGCACAGTGGGGAGCTGGAAAGTTTACCGCAGTAGGAACCACACAGAAAGCCTGGACTTTCACTCTCACCAGATGATAATAACCCCCAACTCCCTGCCCTGCAGAGTGAGGACTCTCACCATCACCCAGCAGCAGCAAGAACACCCCATCCCCAGTGGTGTCACTGGAGGCCTTGTGGGAGGCGATAACAAAGCACCCCTGCCCCTAACTGCGGGAGGCTGGAGGCCAGGTGGGGAGCTGAAACTCCCGTCCCCGCCCAGCAGTAATGAGGGGCCCCCCAATCCACCCTTCAGTCAGGAGAGCTGAGTGGGGAGCCTGTTACCTGGCTGTAACAAGGTACATGTTCCCAACTTCCTCTGTAGAGCAGCGTCAGGAGAAGCCAGTTACACTGGAAGGTTTCAGTTAGATCCAGATCTCGTAACATAATATCCGAAATGTCCAGGGTTCAGTCACTCACTCAGCATACCTAGAACCACAATGATCTCTAACGGAATCATGACGCAGATGTTAACATTATCGGAGAAAGACTTTAGAGCCACCAAGATGAAAATGCTTCAACAAGCAGTAACACACTAGGAACAGACGAAAACGTCCAAGAAAAGAAGGAGAAAAGATAAAGAACAGTTAGAACTGAAAATGCCATAACCAAGTTAAAAACTCAATGAATGGCCTCAACAGCAGAACAGATGAGACAGAGAAAACAATCAATGAACTGGAAGCTGGGACAACAGAAATCACCAAGTCTGAACAGAGAAAAAAGTCATAAGCAGAGCCTCATTCCCTTTTATTCCAGAAGATGTGACGCTGTGTCATGTGAATCCCACAAAAAGAAAAGAGGTTAGGGCTGGAAAAGTACTTCAGGAAATAGTGGCCGAAAACTCCCCAAATTTGGTAAGAGACATAAACCAACAGATTTGAGACACTGAGGGAACCACAAACTGGACAAACCAAAGAAAACTAGGCCAACACACTGTATTTAAACTTCTGAAAGCAAAAGGCAAAGAAAAAGGAAAAAATCGTGAAAGCAGCCAGAAAAAAGTGGCACCTTAAGGGAAAAACAGTGGATTTTTCATCAGAAGCCACAAAGACCGCAAGGAAGGGACACATTTTTCAAAGTTAAAAGAGAAAACTATCAACATAGAAGCCTATATCCAGTGAATCTTCAGAAATGAAAAGGAATCAAGACACTCTCAGAAGAAGGAAAAAGAGAAAAATTTGTCACCAGCAGACCTACCCTAAAAGAATGGCTTAAAGGAGATGCTCTAAACAGAAAGGAAATCATAAAGAAGAAACCCTGGACCAATAGGAAAGAGAAAGAACACAGTGAGCCAAATCATGGGTAAATGGAAGACTTTCCTTCTCCTCTAGAATTTTCTAAATGTTTGATAGTTAAAGCAAAAGTCAGAACCCTATCTCATGCAGCTGTACTGGTACATAAAGAAAATACTTAAGACAACAGCACTATCAACAGTGGAAGGTAGAATGACATAGTAGGAGGTAAGATTTCCATACTTCCCTCAGACCAGTCATTTAACACATAAAGTCACCATCAAAAAAGCTGCACGAAGAGATATACTCAAAAAACACAACAAATAAACCAGAATAAAATTCTAAAGAATGCATAAACAATAGAAGAAAAGCAAAAATGGTACGGCAGCATAAATTCTAACACATCAACAGTTACACTAACTATAAATGGTCTAAATTCACCACTTACTAAGACAGATGTTGGCAGAATAGATTAAAAAACATGACTCAACCATATGTGGTCTACAAGAAACTCAATTCAAATATAACAATACAGTCAGGTAACAAGGGGTAGAAGAGAATATATCACGCAAACATTAATTAAAGGAAAACAGGAGTGGTTATGTTGATATCAGGTAAAGCAGACTTCAGAGAAAAGAAAATGACCAGAGGCAGAGAAAGACATTCCATTCCATAATGACCAAAAGCTCAACTCATCAAAACACACACAGCAATTCCCAAGGCACATGCAACAAACAAAAGAGCTACAAACGTGAAGCAAAAACATGACGGCACTGAAAGGAGAAATAGCCAAATCACAATTAAAGATGGAGATGCCAACACCCCTCTCTCGACAATGGAACGAGACAAAAATCACAAGGATAGAGAACAAATCAACAACACCATCAATAACAGGAGCTAACTGGAATTTATAAAACACTCTACCCAACAACAGCAGAATTCACAGCCCTTTCGAGGGTCCACGTAACATATAACAAGACAGACCACATCCTGGGCCATGAAACAAACCTCAACCGATTTAAAAGGACTGAAATCAGGTAGACTGTATTCTCTGAAAATAGAAATCAGCAACAAAAAAATGCAGGAAAATCTCGAAACACTTGGAAACTAAACAAAAGCCTTTGAACTAATTATAGGTCAAAGAGAAAGTCTCAAGAGATCAGAAAATACACTGGAGTGAACAAAAATGAAAATGCAACACACCAATCTGTGGGATGCTAAAGCAGTACTGGGAGGGAAATGCATAGCACTAAATGCAGATGTCAGAAAAGAAGGCTCGTCATTAATCTAAGCTCCCATCTCAAGAACCTAGAAAAAGACGAACAGTATAAATGTAAAGCAAGTAGAAGGAAATAATAAAGAGAAAGTTCGAGCCAGCCGCAGGAAGGCAAGACGAGGAAACATAAAACATACTAAGACCAAAACCTCCTAGAACTAACAAATGGCCTCAGCAAGACTGTAAAAGACTAACACTCAAGTGTCAACTGTATTTCTATATATTCACGACAGACACACAGATACTGCTATGAAGTGAATTGTGTCCCTCCCAAAATTCACTTGTGAAAGCCCCACCCCCAGTGTGACTGTATTGGGAGATAAAGGCCTTCAAGGAGATGATTAAGGTCAAAAGGGGTCCTAACAGTGGGCCCTATCCCAACAGGACTGGTACCCTTAGAAGGACAGCGAGGCACCAGACATGGCACACACACAGAGAAAAGGCCACGTGAGGACATAGAAGATGATGTCTACACACCAACGAGTTCCTCAGGGGGAACCAGCCCTGCTCACACCTTGATCTCAGACCTCTAGCTTCCAGGACTGTGAAAAATAAATTCCACTTAAGCCACCGGGTCTCTGGTATTCTGATATGGCAGCCCTAGCAGGCAAATGTAGACACTAAAATTAAAAATACAGTATCGTTCACAATTGCTGAAAAAACAAGGGAATACTCAGGTGTAAATCCAACATAGCAGGTATAATACTTGTACGCTGAGAACTACAAAATGCTGAAAAGAAATCAAGAAAGTCCTAAATAAGTGGAGAGATGCACCATGTTCACAGCCTAGAAGACTCGACAGAGTAAAGATGTCCATTCTCCCAGAAATGACATGGGCTTACTGCAACTCCTAGCAAAATCCCAGCAAGAATTTCGTAGGTAGACAAAATTTCTCTGAAATTTACACAGAAAGGCAAAGAAATAGCTGAAACAATTCTGAAAAAACATTTCCTAAAGCTGATGGAATCGGTCTGCCCCATTTCAGAACTTCCCATGCGGCTGGAAAGCAGGACGCTGCAGTGACGGCAGAAGGGCAGGAGGGGAACCCAGAAACAGACTCACGCGGACATGCACCACTCGATTCTGACACACGTACAGCAGGAATTCAACAGAGAAAAGACACTCTTCTCAACAAGAGTACTGGAATGACCGGATGTCCACAGACAGAAGCAGCCCTGATGGAAACCTCACACCTCACAAAAAAATCAACTCGGAATGGACCACAGACTTCAGTGTAAAACTGCAAAACTTCATGTTCCTTTTATTTTTCATATTTTGATTTTTAGGGGGGAGAAGGAGCAGAGGGAGAGAGAATCTTAAGCAGGTCCCACACCCAGCATGGAGCCCAACGTGGGGCTCAATCTCACGACCCTGAGATCATGACCTGAGCTGAAATCAAGAGCTGGAGGCTTAACCGACTGAGCCACCCAGGTGCCCCATTTACGTTTTTTGTTTTTTAAGTTTATTTATTTTAGTAGTCTCTATACCCAATGTGGGGCTCGAACTCACAACCCCCAGATCAAGAGTTCGCATGCTCTTCCAACTGAGCCAGCCAGGCACCCCCAAACTATAAAACTTTAAAAAAGATATTGGGGAAATCTTCAAGAGCCTGGGTTATATAAAAAGTTCTTACGCTTGGCACCAAAACCCAGATCCATAAAGGGAGAAACAGATGAATCAGACCTCACCAAAATTAAAACGTTTTGCTCTGCAAAAACCGTCCGGATAGAAGAACAAGCTACAGCTACAGAGAATGCATACGAACCACATACAGGTGACCCTTGAAAAATGCAGGGGTTGGGGTGCCACGTGTGACTTCTGACTCCCGCAAAACTTAACTACTGGTAACTTACTGTTGACGGGAAGCTCTACTAGTAACACGATTAACACACTGTATATATACATTACATATCGTATTCTTACAATACAGTAAGCTACAGAAAATACTAAGAAAATCATAAAGAAAACACATCTATAGCGCTCTATCTGTTGAAAAAAGTCTACGTATACGTGGACCCATGTAGTTCAAACCGTGTCGTTCAAGGGTCCGGTATAAATCCAACAAACACCTGGGACCTACAACATACAAATGATGCTCAAAACTCAAGAGCGAGGAAACAAGCCATGCAATTAGGAAACGGGCCAGAGCGAGGGACCGTCCCTCCAGGAGACGTGCAGCCGGCACACGAGGACAGACCATCGCTGGTACCAACAGGGAGACGCGAACAGGACCACAAACAAGCACCACCCGGCGCCGGGCAGACGCTCAGTGAAAAACAGGGACGACACCGAAACTGAGCATCTGGGCAACTGGCTTTCTCGTACCTGCCGGCAGAAAGGCCAAACAGGGCAGCCACCGGGGAAACAGCTTGGCGGCTCCTTAAAAACCACACAACCACCACGGGGGTCAGGATCAGCTCCTCTGGGCACTCGTCCCAGACAAATGAAGACCTACGTTCAATATTCAAAGCACGTGTATTCACAACAGCCAAAAACTGGGAACAACCCAGAGTCCTTCACGGGGAGCAGGTACACCAGCCGTGTCCACCACCCAACGGACACGGTGACGGACGGTGGAAGGGACGGACACACACACACACGGGCGTGTGAGCACGGTGACCCACGTGGATCTCAAGGGGGGCGGGCTGAGTGAGAAAGCCCGTCCCACAGGTGACAGACCACGATTCCACTTAAGTGACACTGTTGAAAGGAGAAGACACAAAAATGGTGGAGGGACTGTAGGGTTGGGGTCAGGGGTGTGGCCGGGAACAACCGGGGCAGGGCCCTGAGGGCAGAGCCTTCTCGCTCTTGCCTGTGTAAAGTCGGCCCCCAAAGGGACGCTGCCCCGCAGGGCGTGTCCAGCAGGGAAAGTGGGAAGAGGCGTGGGTCTGTGTTACCTCTAACACTGCATATGAATGTATGGTTACTCAAGAATAGCGTAACTTAAAAAACAAGCAAACCCAGGGCGCCTGGGTGGCTCAGTGGTTAAGCGTCTGCCTTTGGCTCAGGTCGTGATCCCGGGGTCCTGGGGTCGAGCCCCGCATTGGGCTCCCTGCTTCTCCCTCTCCTCCCCCCTCATGCTGTCCCTTGCTATCTCTGTTTCTCTCTCAAATAAATAAAATCTTTAAAAAAACAAACAAGCAAGCAAACCCAGGCCAGCTCCCCACTTGCTGTGTCCTGGTTCCCACGAGTCTCCAGTCTGACCGCCGCTCCCTCTCAACACGGTGAGAATTAATGAAGGTGAACCTCAGCCAAGTGGAGTCTGGAGACTGGGAGGGCCCTGCCACTCAACCCCAATCACAGGAAGAATCACAGACCCCACAGAAGAACGCTCCGCAGAAGAGAACCACCCGCGACAGGCCCCAACAGCAGAAGTTCACGGAATCCCCTACAAGAAATCAGCCACCCCTGAAACTCGGCCATTGGGAAACCGAGAAACCGTCATCACCCTGAACTCTTGCTTTTCGCCAGTGGACTTCCGTCCAAAACAACCCCTCCCAACTTCCTCCTTCTTCCCCATAAAATATCGTTCCTCTCCTTTATGGGTCAGACTTGCCTACGGTTTTGCTTGTCCTGAGTTGCAATTCTTTGTCATTCCCAAATATGCCCATTTTTGCTATTTTAATTTTAAGGTCAAGAGCACTTGGGATGACATGAAGAGATACACAGGCTGTAAACAAGGAAAGTGAGCAAGATGAGCAGGGGCTACTTTCCCTGTGGATCCCATCAGCATTTCTAATCACAAACTAACCACCCACCTGCTTCCGGGGGGGCTCCCAGGCTGCCCACCCCCAGGCCCAGCTGCACTCCCAGCCCCTCC